TTCTGGAGCAGCCTAGCCAGTCTCCAGACCTAAATCCAATAGAACATATTTGGAGGGAGCTGAAACTCCGAGTTGCTCAGCGACAGCCCTGAAACCTGACAGATCTAGAGGAGATCTGTGTGGAGGAGTGGGCCAAAATCCCTGTTGCAGTGTGTGCAAACCTGGTCAAGAACTAAAGGAAACGTTTGACCTCTGTAATTGCAAACAAAGGCTTCTGTACCAAATATTAACACTGATTTTCTCAGGTGTTCAAATACTTATGTTCAGCAGTGCAAGACAAATAAATTCTTTAAAAATCATAGAATGTGATTTCCTGAATTTTTTTTTTTAATTCTGTCTCTCAGAGTGGGAATACACCTACAATGTGAATTTCAGACCCCTCCATGATTTCTAAGTGGGAGAACTTGCAAAATCGCAGGGTGTTCAAATACTTCTGTTCCTCACTGTATGTGTATATATATATATATATATATATATATATATATATAAAAGTTGGTTTGGTTTTATTTTAATTACAGGTGCATGTGTGATATATTAAAGTTTTAAGGGGGTTTTAATGTCATTTACATATTGGTGGGTATGACTGGGGGGGGGGGTTAAAAGGGATTTTTGATGTAAGGGAGGAAGTGGTACTAAGGACCACTGAGCTGTCTGATGCAAGTTGTTTCCTGGGGAGGTCCTTGTGGTGAAATGTGTTGAGGGCAGAGGTGATGTCAGATGTCACAAGTAGCCGGAAAGTGATGGGGTCTGTTTTGATCGTCAGCGAATAGGAGCATGTTTTACATAATTTATGTGAGAGTAATATGTTCTTTAACCACTTGACCTCCGTGAAGTTTTACCCCTTCACGTCCAGGGCATTTTTTGCTATTCAGAACTGTGCTACTGGCAATTGTCTTGCAACACTGTACGCAAATTAAATTTGTATATTTTTTTTTTTCACACAAATAGAGCTTTCTTTTGGTGGTATTTGATCACCCCTGGGTTTTTTTATTTTTTATTATATAAATGAGAAAAAAACCCTATATTTTTTACTTCCTGTTATAAAACGTAACCAATAAAAAAATTTAATTTCTTCATACATTTAGGCCAAAATTTATTCTGCTACATGTCTTTGGTAAAAAAAAAAGATCAAATAATTGTATATTAATTTTTTTTTTGTGAAAGTTAGAGTCTACAAACTATGAAGTATATATTTGAAAATTGATCAATCCTAATGTACTGGCTGCCTTTCTTAAGGCCCTTAAAATTCAAGTACAGTACAAATGCCCCCCAAAATCACCCCTCGACTTTTGGAAAGTAGACATTCTGAAGTTTTTAGTAAGAGGCATGGAGAATTTTTTTTAAGTTGTAATTGTGTTCACAATTTTTTTGAAAAATGAATAAAACAAAATTTGTTTTCACTTTTTTTTAACACCTGACCTCTGGATGATTTACCCCTCCTTAATGACCAGGCTATTTTTTGAGATACAGAGCTGCATTAATTTAACTGACAATTGCTCAGTAATGCAACGCTGTACGTAAATGAAATATATGTAATTTTTTCTCCCACAAATAGAGCTTTCCTTCAGTGGTATTGGTCACCTCGGCACTTTTTATTTTTTTGTGCTATAAATGAAAAAACACTTGACATTTAAAAAAATATATATATTTTTTTACTTTCTGCTATAAACCATATCCAATGAAAACATTTAAAACATCACATTTCTTCATAAATGTAGACCAAAATGTATTCTGTTACATATTTTTGGTAAAAAAAAATCCCAATAAGTGCATATTGATTGGTCTGCACAAAAGAAATAGCATCTACAAATGGTGGAATATATACTGGAATTTTCTTTTTTTATACTAGTAGTGGCAATGATCAGCGACAAGTGGGACTGCGATATTGCGGTGGACAGTCTGACAGTAACTGACACCAACTGACACTTTGTGGGAACCATGACACTAATACAGTGATCAGTGCTAAAAATGTACACTAGATGGTGACAGAGATCCCCCTGCGCTAATATGGAACCTAATTTCTATATGCTGCTAACACCCTATCCTCTACCTATAAGTGGACAAATATAAGTGATAAAATATAATAGTGTTGTAGCGCTGATAACTAAATATGCAAACTCCACAATAATAAGATAAAAAACATAAATCACATAACTGAATGAATATAAATATATAAGTGATAGATCTTTCAAGATCTAGAAAAACAGTGTCTCAAACTGTGATATTATCAGTACACAAAGTGCATATGATGAAGCTGGTCCTATGCTCGGACCCTCATACAGTGACAATACCCAGTCCCACTAAGGACCAAACCCCAAAAGACTAGGTGCTCTATACAGTGGATCCCAAAATAAGGGATATGATCACAAAGTGAATGATATATAAAGTGTATCCTAAAATTGTGATATAAACCAAATAAAGTGACTAGTGAATAATGTTAAACACAATATATAAACATAAACTTCATAAACGCATAAAACGATAAAAAGTACCCAACAAGTTGCCAAGAATAGCAAAGATGGCAATGACTGCCAAAATGTGCCTATATCTTCAAACCACGTGCTATAGTGCTGGTGCAGATGGTGAGCATATATCCTTAGATGGCAGGCATGCCCCCTCACCTCCTTGCTGCGACCCAAAAGGGTCAACACGCCTTTTCGATCACTCTGGATCCTACAGGTACCAATTCTTCAGGTCGCTCTGATTCCACTGAACCTCACTGGTAACTTCCTTCCAATATAAATCACTCTTCCATTCAGGGGTAAACGCAGTGCAGGTCAATAAATGAGTATCACATTACAGCCATGAAAGGACAAAAAGACAAGTCTCCCATAGTGCAACACTATTTAATATGTTAAAAGCATGTTAAATCACCAAATATTGCACTCACATTAACGCAGATCAAACAAGGCTTGTCTCACCACTCAGTATGGGTGTACTGTGTAAACCTGGTGTAGTAAGATAGCGCTCCGCCGGAAGTGTGTCACCACATTGCATCTACGCGTTGCGTCACGTACACGTGACTTCCTCAGGACAGCGTCAATAGTCACGCTATCCTGAGGAAGTCACATGTACGTGACACAACGCGTAGATTTGTATATACTGTGTACTGTATTTACTAGGCAATCTGCTAGACTTTATTCTGCTGTTGACATAACACAGCTTTGCCTTGTTTATATATGCAGAGCTGTTTTCTGTCAGTCTCCTCAGTGATCAACAGGTTCCGGCGCTCATCCATTGGCTGGCACCTGCCATCACAGCAGAAGCTGCGCTGCGGTGGCAGACACGTGCCCCCTCCAGTGGTGGAAGTGCAAAATCATGTTTATATACGTGATTTTGCACAGAAAGTCTACCCTGTAACAGTAAATCTGCTATAGGATGGACAGAAAGTGGTTAACATACTGTGACCAGTGCAGCAATACTGACTGATAGTATGTAAAAAAATCTGTTTTTTTTTTTTTTTTTACACTGTCCTTTCTTGCACAGTGATGATCACTGTATAAGCAATAGTTTTAGCTGTCATGAATATTTTTCCCATTCATGAACTGCTTGCTTATGGTTGTGATCTGTAATTGGCTACAGCTAATCGCATGGTGTTGGTAGCCAGGTACAATGTGATTGCTGTGGGCTAATCACAGATAACAACAGTTAGCGAGCTGTGGTGGTGCTGTGGACATAGCATATCTTGATTTCAGCAAGGCATTTGACACAGTTCCACATAATGATTTATTACAAAAGTTGTACAAACTAGGATTTAATCCTTGGGTGGTTGAGTGGATATGCAGTTGGCTAAAGAATAGACACCAGAGTGTGGTTGTAAATGGGGTTCATTTGGAACAGAGACCAGTCACTAGTGATGCACCACAAGGTTCTGTACTAGGTCCTGTTCTATTTAATCTATATATAAGTGATATAACTAAAGGTTTGTTGGATAAGGTATGTCTTTTTGCTGATGATACAAAGGTGTGTAAGAGGGTTGATATCCCTGGAACCAGGGGCGGACTGACAACTCATGGGGCCCCCGGGCAATAGGGGATCATGGGGCCCGTGTCCTTGCCCAAACTCAAAAAAGCCTATGAAAAAGGTACCAGGGGCATCTCATGGGGCCCCCTACTGACCCCAGGCCCTCGGGCAGTGCCCAAGTTTCCAAATGGTCAGTCCGCCCCTGCCTGGAACATGATGTGGCATTGCTGAAAGATTGGTCAAAGAAGTGGAAACTGCAGTTCAATGTTTCTAAATTTTGTATGTAAAATAATGCACCTAGGGAAAAAGAATAACTTGAGAGAGTACAACATTGGGGGTTGGCCAGCACTATAAAGGAAAAAGATTTGGGGGTACTTATCTCAGATGATTGCAAAATGAGCAAACAGTGTGCCCAGGCGGTGGGAAAAGCAAATAGAATTCTAGGATGCATCACTAGAGGAGTCACAGCAGGAAAAAGGAGGTCCTGATTCCCCTATACAGATCTTTATTGAGATCTCATTTACATATCTTTTCACAGTTTTGCACAATGAGCATGGCCCAGGAGAAAATGTATGCCTTTTACACTTCCTTAAGAGTCCCAGTTGGAACTGCCTACATTGATGGCCTTTTTAAAAACTATGCTTTCTTCCTCTGGTTTTTAGTTCTTCTTGTTTTACAATGAAGGCATTTTCTTCTGTAAGGTTATGTTAACCATAGCCGGTACTGTACGTTCTGGTTGCGCATGCGGGAATCTCATTGGTTCCCGCACCCGCAACCACCCACAGCCGAAGTGTGCTGTTCTTACAAGATGCACGGGGCTGCCATTCATTATGAAAGGCACACCCCACACATCTCAGTCTGCAGCGCGATCATGGGTATGGGAAATGCAGGGAAACTGCATGGTCAAAAAGACCCTGTCAGGGCTCCCAGGTGTGACCAGAGGTGTGTGACTGACGCAGGGAAACGCAGACTTCAGATATGTGATAAACAATATAATTTATTAACACTAACCATACAAACATAAACGCAGTGCAATACTAAAACATAATACAGTGCAAACAAACCAAACCAACCACCCACAGATAACAGTACATACAAGCAAGCGTCGTCAGGCAGGCCGGGTCAATATCAATAGGGCGGGTAGGTACAGGGGGAGCAAGCGGAGATGGGTCGGGGTCACAGGCCAGGTTCAGCAGGTAGCTAGCAGCGTAGTAGTACAGAGGGTCAGGCAGAGGAATGGTCAGGGTCACAAGCCAGGGATCAGAACAGGTAGCAAGCAGCGTGGTACAGAGGGTCAGGCAGAGGGATGGTCAGGAGCGAGCCGGGATCAGAGCAGGAGAAGTCAGCAGCGGTTCAGATCAGGCAGGGTCAGCAAAGGAACAGAAACAGGATGCAGGACAGATACAGGGCCCAGGACAAACACAACACCAAGGCAGAGTCTGCAAGTCTGGCCATCCCTTAAATACACCAGTATCATCAGTTCCAGGTGTTAGCTGGCTGAAAGGTTGAGTCTCTGATTGCTGGGAGCACCCGCTGGCCAGCCCTGGTACTGCAGATCAAAAGGCAGGTGAGTCCCACCATTGCTGGCCAGTCCATTCCTGACAGACTCTGCAGATGAGATTTTTAAAAGGTGCATGCACCTTTTCTTACATTAAACTCGGGCACAGCAGCCCACTCAAACGAATGGACTGCCATGCCTGCACAAACACTGGTCACTAGTGTGAGCCAGGCCTCATGCAGGATAAACCTGTTACTCCCTTGATTGCTAGGGTTTAGGACTTGTGTCCATTTACACCTGCCTACATCTAATCCGAACCTGGAAGTAAACGCATTAGTTTACACCTGTATAATGTAGAATATTATACAGGTATAATATTTAGGGCAGTGGTTCTCAACCTGTGGGTCGCGACCCCTTTGGGGGTCGAACGGCCCTTTCACAGGGGTCCCCTAAGACCATCAGAAAACACATATTTCTGATGTGTAAAGAGCAGCTACTGTGTAGAAAGCAGCTGCTGTGTTGAAAGCAGCTACTCTGTTAAAAGCAGCTACTGTGTTGAAAGCAGCTGCTGTGTTGAAAGCAGCTACTCTGTTAAAATGAGCTACTGTGTTGAAAGCAGCAGTATTGGAGGTAAAACGACACTTATAAATTATAATTACTGGGTAAATAATTTTATGGTTGGGGGTCACCACAACATGAGGAACTGTATTAAAGGGTCACGGCATTAGGAAGGTTGAGAACCACTGATTTAGGGGGATCTCGGAGTGTAGTATGGATGAGCAGGGGAGCCCCCTTCACTCACCCCCTATCCCCCCTCTCACTCACCCCCCTCCCCACATCTCTCTCTCTCCCGCCCTTCCCTAATTCACCCCCTCTCTCACCCCTCCCTGTCTCTCACTCCTCCCTCTCCCCTCCACACCTTACTCTCTCACCATCCCTCTCTCTCACCCCCCCTCTCCGTCTCTCACCCTCCTCTCCGTCTCTCACCCTCCTCTCTTTCATCCCCCCCATCTTTCTCATCCCCCCTTCTTTCTCTCATTCTCCCTTCTCCCCCCCCTCTTTCTCTCATCCCCCCTTCTCCCCCCCTCTTTCTCATCCCCCTTCTCACCTCCTACTTCTCTCATCCTCCCTCTCTTTCTCTCTACTCCCCCTTCTCACCTCTCTCTCTTTCCCTCCACCTCTTCCCCCCCCCCCTCTTTCCCCTTTCTCTCTCCCTCCTACTTTCCCATCTAATCCTTTCCCTCCTATTCCTATATCCCCTCCCCCTCCTTCTCTCTCCCCTCTTCCGCTCTTCTGTCTCTCTCCCTGTACTCCCTCTTCTCTTTGTTTCTAATAGGAGTTTCTGGCATATTTCAGGTTCTCAGTAAAAAATGCATTTTGTCAGTATATTTTCCATGTTTTGTCAGTGAAAAAAAAAATGTAGGGGGTGGCAACTAGTGATGGGCTGAACACCCCCCTGTTCAGTTCATGCTCGAACATTTGAAATTCGAACCGTCAATCACGATACCTGCTGTCGGCCCACGCTGAAGTCAAACTTACATTTGACATGAACATGCAGCCCATCACTAATGGCAACTCTGTCAGAAAGGAGCTGAGTGGGAGCCGAAAGGCTTCAAAAGGCAGTTAACTGGTCAATCATTGGGCATCTTCATTGTACTAAGTAATCAGCAGGCATTACTTACAGACCCCAAAAACCACACCCAATGTTTGCCGCGTCACACTTCTTTCTCTGGTATTAGGGCCCAAATTATGATTTCACACATAGATCCACTGCTTTCATAAAATGCCCCCTGTTCCATCATAAAGATGGCTATCTCCTATTATCCGGGAGCCCCATGAGTTGTCAGTCCGCCCCTGCTCTGTACTATGTGATAGCTGGGCCAAACACAGCAGCACAATAGTAAAGAATGAGTCATGAAAGCCATTCATGACAGTTCAAATGATTGCTGTTACAGTGATCATCACTGTAACAAGCAATCACATTATCCTGGGAGCTGTGTTCTGTCTTATGAGAATTTTTGTAACCTATTTGTTTTCGATATGAGACTAGCATGCAAAAAAAAAGGAGATGATCATTTGTCTGATATTCTCATCATGTGTACGAGGCTTTAGGATAGGTACACAGCAATCCCAGCCCAGACTACACCTCCCAGAAAGGCTCTGCTCTGCCAGGGGAGGACCCAGCTGCCTGCCTGTAGCTGGCCAGATAAGACCAGTCCTAGGTTGCTAATATGGTTCACATATATGTGTATACCAAACCTGCCAATAACCTCAGTACAGTGTATATGTGCACATGTTAAAGCCAAAAGCAGAATCATTGCTGTAATTTATGTCTTTGAATGTTATATGTAATTTATATATTCACTGTGTTAGCAGAAAAGAAGAATATGCCTTTAAGAGTTAGTATAAGGTGAGCCAATCACAGCCAGCCTCACACTGTACAGAGCCTTAACCAATCCCAGCCAGTTTCACATTTATGCCTGTGTAAAACTCCCTGCTAGATTGTTCTAGAGACACATGCTCACCAGACAGAAGAGTAAATAGACAAAGTTCCAGTCAGAGAAGCTTTACGGAAACAGAGAAGGCCAAATAGGTATTTAATGCACTTGTGTGTTCCTCTATTGTTTAACAGTGCAGGTAGATCTGTGTGTAAAATCTGTTGTGTGTGTGTTTACTTGTAGTTCCACCGAATTTATCGAATCTAACGAACCTATCAAATTTAACAACATAAGCTAACAAATCTATCGAATCTATTGAAATATACAGAATGAAATAAGTTATTGATATAATCCACTGAATTAAACCACTGTAATATGAAAGAAATAAGCTACTGTAAGATAAACAAGCCATTGTAAGCAGTGTTATATGAAGAAGTTTGACGTTATTAAAGAAGTTAACTAAAGTATTCAGTGTGCTCTTTAAACCTACTGCATCCATAGAGCGGCATTGGAGGAATTACAGAGTAAAGTCAATCTAGTCAAACAAAGAAACAGCAATTGCATAATTTTTCTAATGCCACAGCGCACAAGGCACCAAAGGGTGCTGCGCCTGCCACACTGCCTGTTCCTGAACAAAGGCTTATCTCTACCTTTGCTCTCGGATTATCAGTTGAAAGTCAATGTCTTGATTATGGGAATCTTTCGAACGTGATCCAGCAGGTGTTTCCTTCATTCAACGTCTGGGGGTCAGTTTGTCCCTTTGGAGCCAAAAAGTGTTCGGGTTCACTATCTACATTTGGAATCTGTACTGCGCTCTCCGTACTTAATTGAGGGGTCATTACGGTCTGGTAAGAGGCAGCATTTTTTGGGGTGTTGGTGATGGTGGACTCTCCTAATCTATTGGAACTTTTTATTTTGGAATTTATATGATATCAACAATATTCTATCACAGAAGCATTTATTTTATGTATACCGTACATTATTGGACTGTTATTTTATATATTCTTTTCTTTATTGTGATTATCCGTAGCGCCACACCTTTGTGTTCTGTAGGTACACACTATTGTGGGTGGTTGCAGGTGCAGGAGTCACAGTTGTTCCCACACCTGCAGCCACAATAAGCAGCTCTTTAACCACTTGCCCTCCTAAGGATTTACCCCCCTTCCTGACCAGGCATCTTTTTGCTACTCGTCGCTGCACTAATTCAACTGATAATTGCGCGGTCATGCAATGCTGCACCCAAACAAAATTTACGTCCTTTTTAACACAAATAGAGCTTTCTTTCAGTGGTATTTGATCACCTGTGCGCTTTTCATTTTTCACGCTATAAACAAATAAAGACCCAAAATTTTGAAGAACGATATTTTTTAATTTCAGTTATAAAATATATATAGTATAAAATATATATAGTTATAAATTTAGGTCAAAATGTATTCTGCTGCATGTTTTTGGTAAAAAAAATCCCAGTAAATGTATATTGATTGCTTTGTGTGAAAGTTATAGCGTCTACAAACTATGGTATAGATACTGCAATTTACACCATTTTTTTGCTATACAGCGCTGCGCTAGTTTAATGGACAATTCCGCGGTCTTGCAATATGGTACATAAATGAAATTTATGTCCTTTTTTTCACACAAATAGGGATTTCTTTTGGTGGTATTTGATCAACTGTGCACTTTTTATTTTTGGCACTATAACCAGAAAAATTTTTGAAGAAAATTTTTTTTTGAAAAAAACAATATTTTTTTCATTTTGGTCATAAAAAATATCCAAAGAAACTAAAATTTCGTCATAAATTTAGGCCAAAATGTATTCTGCTACGTGTTTTTGGTTAAAAAAAATCCCAGTAAGTGTATATTGATTGCTTTGTGTGAAAGTTATAGTGTCTACAAAATATGGTATATATACTGCAATTTACACGGCTTTTACTTTCTGACTGCCCATCACATTTCTTGAGGTGCTAAAATACCAGGATAGTACAAACACCCTCAAATGACCTATTTTCGGAAAGTAGACACCCTAAGCTATCTGCTGAGAGGCATATTGAGTCCATGGAAGATTTATTTTTTTTCCACAAGTTTCCGGAAAATGACAAAACCTTTTTTTTTTTTTTTTTTTTTTTTTTTTTTACACGAAGCTGTCATTTAAATGATTTATTTCTCGCACAAGCCATGGGTATATGTGTAATTACACCCCAAAATACATTCTGCTACTTCTACTGAGTTTGGGGATGCCATGTGTGTGAGACTTTTTGGGAGCCTAGCCACATACAGGTGCCTGAAATCCAATGACCACTTTGAAAGCTTGAAGGTGCGTAATGTCATTACACTTCCTCACTACCTATCACAGTTTTGAACGCCCTGACATGCCAGGATAGCACCAAACCCCCCCCCCCCCCAAATGACCCCTTTCTGAAAAGTAGACACCCCAAGGAATTTAAAAAGAGGCATGGTGAGTATTTTGCAGATCTCATTTTTTCTCACAAGGTTTTGAAATATAAAAAAAAATAGAAAAAAATATGTTTTTGTTTTTTTTTCTTCATTTTCCAAAAACTTGTGGCAACAAATGAGATCTGCAAAATACTTACTGTGCTTTTTATCAAATTCCTTGGGGTGTCTACTTTCCAAAAAGAGGTCATTTTGGGGGGTTAGGTGCTATCCTGGCATTTCAGGGCCTCTGAAGCTGTGATAGGTAGTCTGGAAGTGTAATGAGAAAATAATGCCCTTTAAAAGCCTGAAGGTGCCTATTGGATTTTGGGGTCCTGTACTGTGGTACTTCATACTTGGGAGAAGTAGCAGAATGTATTTTGGGGAGTAATTCCACATATACCCATGGCATGTGTGAGCAGTAAATCATTTAAGTGACAATTTTGTGTAAAAAAAAAAAAAAAAATTTTCGTCATTTTCCAAAAACTTGTGGTAAAAAAATAAATTCTTCTATTGATTGAACATGCCTGTTATGATCCGCCAGGTGGTGCCTCAGGCTGCCAACTGACAGACCTACTCAGAGCGTTTGGTCTAAGCCCGGGCTGTGCTTTCACCAGAGCCCCTGATGGTGGGGATGGACTTGAAACAGTCCCGGGCCAGGTCACGACCTCCGAGCAGGCCCGCCAGTGGCTGAGGAGACCCTTGGGGACAGGTACCGGAGAGAGCCAGATATGAAGAGGATGGCGGCCCCAGCAGGGTAGTAACGGATTGTGGGCCCGTGAGGGTAAGCGGGGTACAGAATCGGTAGGCGAGCGAGGTAGTCGGGTCACACGCAGGGTCAGCAGGGAAGTCAATCCGTAGAATGGTCAGGGCAATCCGGGTCAAACGCAGGAGCAGGCAGAATAGTCAGGACAATCCGGGTCAAAACGCAGGAGCAGGCAGAGTAGTCAGGACAATCCGGGTCAAACGCAGGAGCAGGCAGAGTAGTCAGGACAATCCGGGTCAAACGCAGGAGCAGGCAGAATAGTCAGGGTCAATCAGGGTCACAGGATAGGTGCAGGAACTCAGGATCACAGAAGACCTTGCGGCAATCTGTGACAGTGCAGGGCATCTTTAAATAGTGCGCCCTGCACTGTCATTGGCCGGCTAGGACGCGCCCCCGGCTGTCATTGGACGCCTGAGGCGCGCCCGCGGCTCCTACTGCGCATGCGCGGCGTCCTGTCAGCCGCGGCTCGCCGGGACCTAGTGCCCGTGTCCCGGCGCGATCCGCCGCCACTGCGAATGCGCGAGGGACGGAGCCGCGATCGCGGACCCTGGAGCCGTGGTCCCTGACAATGCCTCTCAGCAAATAGTTTGGGGTGTCTAATTTCCAAAAAGGGGTCGTTTAGGGGGGTGGGGGCATTCTATGCCCAGCATTAGAAGTTTATGCCACACATCACTCACTCTTCTAAACACCTGAAGACCAAGCCTTTTCTGACACTTTTTGTTCACGTGAAAAGAATCAGTATTTTTTGCTAGGAAATTAATTTAAACCCCCAAACATTATATATTTTTTTAAAGCAGACACCCTAGTGAATAAAATTGTGGGTACTACAATTTTTTTATGGCACATAATACTCATGCAGCGATTTTTCAAAAGCAAATTTTTTTACAAAATACACTTTTTTTACTTTTAATGCACAAAAACACAATATATTGGCCAGATATTTGGTACAATATAAAAGATAATGGTATGCCAAGTAAATAGATACCAAACATGACATTCTTTAAAACTGCACATGCCCTGTGCAATGGCGACAAACTACAAATATTTTTAATATCCATAGGCAACGCTTTAAAAGCTACCATTTTAGATTTACAGAGGAGGTCTAGTGTTAGAATGACTGCCGTTGATCTGACGTTCATGGCAATACCTCACATGCATGCTGTTTACATACTGGCACAGGGTCGCGGCTTCTGCACACAGGCGTGCGCGCATGGGAGGGGCGATTTTTTTTTTTTTTTTTTAGTTATTTTGATTTTTTTTTTATTATTTTTACATTGTACCTTTCATTTTTTTTTTTTTAATCACTTTTAGTGCTATAACAGGGAATGCAAATATCCCCTATAACTTAAATGGGCATTGTCATATATTCTTTTTTGAGAAATCTGGGGTCTATCAGACTCTGGATATCTCCTCTGCTCTTACATTATCTAATCAAACCAAAATCGGTGTGATCAGATGCTTTCCCAATTTACAAATGGCGCTGTTTATATCCTGTGAAACTGAAGTGATAAAATGCTTGTAGCTTCCGAATTCTTAGACTATAGAGATGATTGGCACCACTCTGATTTCCAATCAGCTCTATGGTCAGCTGGAAGAAACACCGGCTGCATTGTCAGGACTGCCCGAGAAGGCCATGTAAGGCAGCGGGGAAGGGGGGCCATCATCTCCCGCTGCTTGTAAAAGCAATCCTGCAGCTAATTAGCCACTAGAATTGCTTTTACGTGAAAGCCGATCACCGGCTGAGAAAAACGATACCAGGATGATGCCTGCAGCTGTAGGCATCATCCTGGTATAACCATTCAAATTTCAGTGATGTACCAGTACGTCGCTAGTCCTTGTTGGGTATATATACTATGTTCTTTTTTTTTTTTTGTATGCAGCCTGCGGACTGAATGAAAAAATTAGAAGAAATCTCTGCCAGAAAAAGTGTGGTATGCCCACCGTTAGAATATACTGCCCTGCATCCACCTACTTCTAATGGTGGGCACACATTAGGTCACTTTGTCACAAGTGCCAGTTCCAAGATTGTACAAATGTCTAAATAGTGGCACACTTGAATAAAAATTGTCCACGTATAAGTGGTACCCCATATGGAAAAAGGATGACACCAAGTTCCAAACTATCTTGCCACTGCTCCCCATGCAGTCTGGGCATCCAGGGGGCTCCACGTGACTATCTTTTCCCTCGTAAATCCAAAACTTATAAGTATAGCCTGTTGCCCTCTCACAGGTCTTTTACATCTTGACCCCATTTCTGGCAGGCTTGCAGGGGAGAAATTGTTTGAATGCAAGGCTGCCAGAAAAATTAATGAGGGACTCATCAATGCAGATGTTTTGCTGGGGAGTATACACATCTGCAAATTTTTGGGTAAGGTGATTTGCGAGGGGCTGAATTTTGTGGAGCCGGTCAAATTCAGGGTTACCCCGAGGATGACAGAGTATATTGTCGTTGAAATGCATAAAACACATTATACTCTCATATCTATATGCCTGGCCATGCAGCAGAGAACACAGACATATGATGAATCGGGTCTGCGGACCAATACAACCGCAATTCATTTCTTTTATTAATGCGTTGAGGGTTAGGCCCCCCAAAAAATGTAAATTCCAAAACCGTAATGAGTTTCCATGCGAATGGTCTGGCAAGGTTTGAATTTGGGTTGGCGGCGATAAAAAAAGACCAAGATGTACTAGACCGCTGGTACTCGCCAGTTCACCAAAAGGTAGCGTAGCACTAGTACTGGCACTCTGCTGCATATGAGAGTCGTCAAAATTTACCAGCAAGTGCTAACAGAGATCAGGCCTGATTCTACGAACACTGCGGTTTTGTGTGCAATGTATCAAGTGACAGTGACCTACTGACACTGCTGGGGGAGAAGGGGGGGGCGCCACCTTGTAAGTGTAGGGGCTAAACGCAGGTACTGGCAGGTGGAGGGGCTGACCCCGCTAACGCTGTGTTTTTGGGGATGCTATACTAATGTGAACCCTGGTATAGTGCTGATCTGATCAAAGATAGTGACCCGTTCAGACACTATACTAGCAATGGAGGTTATTGTACATGAGCGTGCTCCTGGCAATCAAGGGGTTAAATGTGATGACTAGTGTACTGACGGGCAATCTGACGCTATCTGGGAGGGGCGCAAAAACCACGGGTGCGCGAAATCACGTATATATGTGATTTTGCGCACCCATGCCGCCCTGTAGTAGTATTTCTGCTATAGGGCGGTCAGGAAGCGGTTTGTATTACGTCGCTGCGTTACTTTAACTGACAATTGCACGGTCATGCAACACTGCACCCAAATTAAATTTACATCCTTTTTTTCCCACAAACTGAGCTTTCTTTTGGTGGTATTTGATCTCCTGTGCATTTTTTATTATTTGCGCTATAAAAAAAAAGGCTGACAATTTTGAGAAATAAAAAACAATATTTTGGACTTTTTGCTATAAAACATGTCCAGTAAAAAAATTTAAAAATCAAATTTAGTCATAAATTTCTGGCAAAATGTATTCTGCGACATGTCTTTGCTAAAAAAAATCCCAATACGTGTAAATTAATTGGTTTACATGAAAGTTATAGCGTTTACAAATGGCGGGAAAGATACTGGGATTTTTTTTAAAATTATACTAATAAAGGCGGTGATCAGCGATTTATGATAGTGATCAGCGACTTATGGCGTGATCAGCGATTTCTGATAGTGATCAGCGACTTATGGCGGCGATCAGCGACTTATGACAGTGATCAGCGACTTATGGCGGGACGGCGGGACATTTTGACACTGGGGTGGAACTGACACCAATACAGTGATAAGTGCAAAAAAAAAAACCACTGACACTGTACTAATTGCACTGGGGAGGAAGGGGTTAACATTTATTAGGTAATGAAAGGGTTAACTGTGTGAGGGGAGTGTGTTTTACTAGGGGGCGGGGGGGTCGGTGTACTTCACAGGAACACGCTGATCCCGAGAGATAAAGTCCTTCTCTCAGGTTCAGCGTGCTCTGAACTGACAGATAGCAGAGCTGCAGTGTAAACACTGCAGCCGTGCTATCTGTCAGTGATTATCGGTAATTGCCGGGACCCGTCGGGTAAAGACCGTCCGGAACCCGGAGATGGACACCTGCTGCCACGACCGGCGGGACGGGTAGGGCAGGCACGCGCCTCACGCGCGCCCCCTGCCTGTTTTGCACAGCGACGTTAAAAGAGGGCGCTGTGCGCAGAGGTGCCGCCCTGCCACAGTAAAAAACACTGCGGCTGGTCGGCAACCAGTTAAAGACGTGTGGGATAAATAGATTTTTTTAAATGATTTACAGATTAAAAGTTGTAAAGTGTTGTTTGCATAAATATTAATCCTCTGCTGTCAAACCCCTTAGGGCTCATTCCCACAGGCATAGAAAACCGCACACCATAAAAAACATGAGCATATTTCTGCACCCAAATCAATAACAAGCTGTGGCTATATGCAGGTAACTGCACATATGAGCACATGCATACAGGAATGGACATGCACCCTAGACTTACAAAGTTTGCATCCAGGTATTTCATCTATCCCTGTACACCTGTAAATGTGTGATTACCAGTGTACCGCTGCAGCCCGTCATTGTACATGTTCATTTGTAAGTACCTGTACTTCCAGGTGCTATAATATTTGCTGCTGTTGGCTCTGTGCAGCCCTCTGCACTCAATGAGCCCTAGGTATGAGATCAGAGTGCAACTATTTGCAAAACTTAATTAGTGGAATGGCATTCATCCATGTGCAATTAAAGGGCCACATGATCTCAATATAAATACACCTATTCCTGGAAGTCTCCAGAGTTTTTTTTTTTTTATATAGCATAGTGTCTTTCATGTTTAGATATGTTATCTAAACATGTTATCCTTGAATCCTGGAAGTGAGTTTTTTTTTGTCCATGTTTAGATATGTTATCTAAATAATTCTCAGATAAGGTACAGATGAAACACCAGTTGGAGTTAAATTATGGAAAAAAAAAACCTTCAAGCTACAAACATCTCCTAAAGCAGTGGTGAATGTATTAATAAAAGGAGTACATTGCCACGGTCTGGACTTGGTGGAGGAGTGTTGAGCTGATGCCGAAAAAAATTTATCACAAGGCATATGGAAGGCACAAAAACTTTTGACAGACTGAACCTTTTTTTTCTGTGGCAGAAAGCCAAAACCCCATCTTGACAGTAACGCATGACTGGTAGTAACCTGTTGTGGGGATGTTTTTATTGGCAGAAACTGTTTAGAAACAGATATTCGCTCTTTAGAAAAAAAAAGATATATTCTTTTTTTTTAATTGTGGTGCAAAATGCTTAAAAAAGGCCTGGATTCTTTCTTGGATACAAAGAATATAACTGGATACTAACATGTATTGGTAATGTTGATCCAGGGAATATCCAATTGCCTCTCGGGGGATCAGGAAGGAATTTTTCCCCCTGCAGGAGCAAATTGCATCATGCTTTGCTGGGTTTTTTACCTTCCTCTGGATCAACTGTGGGTATAGGATTCTCTCTTTTTTTATGGTTGAACTGGATGGACTTTTGTCTTTTTTCAGCCAGACTAACTATGTAATCAAACTAAAAAGAATATATATATATATATATATATATACATACAGTATGTCCCAGATTTTCTGTATTGTTGCCATTATGTGTGGTGGCTGCAGGAGTTTTCTGTTTTTCAGGCTTTTTTTTTCTCTTTTTTTTTTTTTTGCTTCCTGTCCTAGGGTGACAATGCTCACTGTACTGTAAGTATGGGAGAACAGCATTGTTACTCTGGGACTGAAAAATATAGAATTACTTGTAGTTCTACCCCCTTAAGGGCCACTGAATATTTTGGGTTTCCCATTCCTTTCTGAGGCCTGGCTGGAGCACAACCCCTAATGACACCTGAGCCAGATATTCCCCTCGGTTAAAACACACACAATACCCACAAAGCGTTTGATGAATAACAAAGCAGGTTGTATTAAAGTCAGATTAGCAGAAATGTACATATGGAGGATCAATGACTGATGGGAGAAATATAAACTAACAGGAGAAATAAAAGTACAGCACAAGACCCTTTTAAATAGTCCCAATTGTCCTGCAGGACTCACATACATGCAAATTGGATGCGGTTTGAATTGCATCCAATCCGCATGACATGTGAAATAAGGGTGCTTCCTATGATGCTTGTTCACATATGTCCAGTGCACTGACAGCGGTTAAATCGGTGCAGTTCCAACATGGTCGGAGCCGCACCGATTTCTAAAGTAGTACATGCACTACTTTTGGTGCAATTTGGATAGACATCTGTGTCAGATATCTTGCAAATCGCACCTGAAATTGGCAGTCACACGACTTTGAAATTGTGCGACTTCACTGTAAGTCACACGATTTCAAAGTCGGGCTTGATGTATCTAGACTAACTCTCGGAGGAATTTTTCAAAGCAAGGTAGTCCCATATATGTCCTGTCACACAATATGGGAATGTCGACTTTGGTGGAGCTCTTTATGTTGGTGCACAGTTTAAATACTTTCCTTGTCTTTCTTTTCCTTTACAATAAAATGTCACTTTCCTAAAGATAATGACACAGCCAGGAGAGTTCCCCTTAATTAACCACTTGCCCTCCAGAGGATTTACCCACCTTCCTGACCAGGCCATTTTTTGCGATACGGTGCAGCGTTACTTTAACTGACAATTACACTGTCATGCAATGCTGCACTCAAATTAAATTTGTATCCTTTTTTTCCTAATAAATAGAGCTTTCTTTCAGTGTGGTTTTTATTTTTTTGCGCTATGAAAAAAAAGACAGCCAATTTTGAGAAAAAAAACACCATGTTTTACTTTTTGTTATTAAACATGTCCAGTCAAAAGAATTAAAAAGTCAAATTTCATCATAAATTTAGGCCAAAATGTATTCTGCTACATATCTTTGCTACAAAAAAAATCCCAATACATGTAAATTACTTGGTTTATGTGAAAATTATGGCATCTACAAATGGCGGTATATATATTGGAATTTTTTTTTTTTTTTATATAGTAGTAATGGCAGTGATCAGCGACTTATAGCGGTGGGAAATCTGACACTGGGGGGAACGGACTAACCGTCACTGACATCCTCAGTGACACCAATACAGTGATCAGTGCTAATAAAATCCACTGACACTGTACTAATGACCCTGGGCAGGAAGGGGTTAACATCTGGGATGATCAAAGGGTTAACTGTGTGCTGTGTGTGTGCTTTACACGGTAAGCACACTGCTTTGTATGGCTCTGCTATGCAGAGCCATACAAAGCAGTGTGCAGGAGCTGACAGGGGAGAGATCTGTATTGTTTACATACAGGTCTCTCCCCTGTCCATGATACACTGTGATTGCTGGGTGCGGACGAGGAATCACTGGCTAGGATCCTTTGATTGACAGCCGAGGCCGCTAATGGCGGCGCGGGTACGACTACCAGGAAATGCAAAATCACAAAAATATATACGTGATTTTGCGCACACTTTCCACCCTGTAGCAGAATTTCTGCTATAGGGTGGCGGGAAAGCAGCTAAAGGCAGCAAGCTGGGAGTCAGCTTTGAATATATCAAAGTGGTATGGTGGTTAATCCATACCCAAGAGGGGTGGGAACAGGCTCTAAACCTCTTCGCACCGGCGCCTCCTGGCCCTTTAAGAGTTTCAGAAGCCGGGAGGCAGGCAGGGTTTTAGGGTTATGTGACCGCCGTGATTCGCTGTCACGGCGGTCACATGATTGGAAAAGGTCTTGATCGCAAGGGGAGATCGGGACCTCTCCGTGAGTCACGGACATGTGTGCTGGGTGTGCGCAAGCTGCACGCTCTCAGCACATACAATTGTGTTCAAAATAATAGCAGTCAGACATCACTAACCTGATCAATCACTGTTTTTGGTAGAAATGATATTTCTACATGGCAAATAAATTACTAGCAGTAATAGAAATCCAACAGACCCAACAGTCATGACATGCATGCTAATGATTCTGTGTAATTGAATCACTATTTGAAAGGGGCATGTTCAAAATAATAGCAGTGTGGAGTTCTATTAGTGAGGTCATTCATTCTTTGAAAAACAGGTGGCAGTTATTGCCCTTATTTAAGGAAGGCAGCAAATGTTGTACATGCTGGTTACAGTGCATTTCTCTCTGAAATTTTGAGAAAAATGGGTCGTTCCAGACATTGTTCAGAAGAACAGCGTACCTTGATTAAAAAGTTGATTGTAGAGGGGAAAACATATAAAGAAGTGCAGAAAATGATAGTCTGCTCAGCTAAAATGATCGCAAATGCTTTCAAATGGCAACCAAAACCTGAAAGACGTGGAAGAAAGCGAAAAACTACCATTCGAATGGATAGAAGAATAGCCAAAATGGCAAGGACTCAGCCAACAATCAGCTCCAGGAAGATCAAAGAAGGTCTAAAGTTACCTGTGAGTACTGTTACAATTAGAAGACACCTATGTGAAGCCAAGCTATCTGCAAGAAGCCCCCGCAAAGTCCCACTGTTGAAAAAAAGACGTGCTGAAGAGGTTACAATTTGCCAAAGAGCACATTGACTGGCCTAAAGAGAAATGGCGCAACATTTTGTGGACTGATGAAAGTAAGATTGTTCTTTTTGGGTCTAGTGGCCGCAGACAGTTTGTCAGATGACCCCCAAACACTGAATTCAAGCCACAGTACACTGTGAAGACAGTGAAGCATAGTTGCGCAAGCATCATGATATGGGGATGTTTCTCATACTACGGTGTTGGGCCTATTTATCGCATACCAGGGATCATGGATCAGTTTGAATACATCAGAATACTTGAAGAGGTCATGCTGCCTTATGCTGAAGAGGAAATGCCCTTGAAATGGGTGTTCCAACAAGACAACGACCCCAAACACACCAGTAAACGTGCAACATCATGGTTCCAGACCAACAAGATTGACGTTATGGAGTGGCCAGCCCAATCCCCGGATCTTAATCCAATAAAAAACTTGTGGGGTGACATCAAAAATGCAGTTTCTGAGGCAAAACCAAGAAATAGAGAAGAACTGTGGAATGTAGTCCAATCATCCTGGGCTGGAATACCTGTTCACAGGTGCCAGAAGTTGGTTGACTCCATGCAACACAGATGTACAGCAGTTCTCAGAAACAGTGCTTATACAACTAAATATTCATTAAGTTATTCAAAGGAAAGCATATATAGTGAATGTTTGAGTTTGTAAAGAAGAATACAAACACTGCTATTTTTTTGAACAGTCTAATATTCACTTTTCTTCAATTTTCTTAGAGAAACAACACAAATTTGATATATTTTTCTTCATGTTTTGATTTGGAATAGAATGTGAAGTGTTCCCAATGCATTTGTGTGTAAGGAAATAAAAGCTATTAGAAGGATTTTGAGCTTTATTCACTTTTTTCAACACACTGCTATTATTTTGAACACAACTGTATGTATTTTCTAATGGCACACAAATATGCTGTGTCAGGGCCCAGATGCCGAGAGGCCGCATATTTGCATGCGTTCTGCGTCAAGGGGTTAAGCTGGCTACACATTATACAATTTTCCTGTTCAATTTCCTTTAGATTTACCTTCAACTATGTAGTGCAAGGGCCTGCCTGACTGCATACAATTTGAAAGTGGTTAGATTTGACCTCATATTCTATGGTTTTGGTAGATGTAAAGGATGTACAAAAAATGTATAATGTGTAGTCAGGGTAACAAAAGTAAATCCCTTTAAGTGCAAGGATTGGCTAGTGTAATTGCTTTGATATTTAGAAAATGGCTGATGTGATATGCTGTTACTTTTTACAATTCCTTCCAAACAGGGAAGCAGAAGCTATTGAGGCTGATATACTATGTGTAGTACTGAAATAGACTATTAATGCAGATAGACAACAGTACTGCTTGGGCTAACAGAGTCCAGGTCTCTAAGTGGAATTCTGTATTGCAGAAAGTCTTGGTTCTGATTAACTGGCAAAACCAACTACAGAACTTGTAGCATGTAGTGGTATGCTATGGGTTAAGAACCCTCTCGCCCATCACCCAGTCCTTAGTAGTAGCGATGTGAACGATGGCCTTGTCGCTGGGGGCCCCCTTTCTTTGAAGTCTCCCTGTAGAGATTGTGGTGCCAATGACATTGACCTCATCCACCTGCATACAGGATCTACTATCCTGCATTTCCGTGCGATGAATGATCTGGGAATTCTCTATCTGCAATCAGTAACAATGCAGTGTGTTACATACAGAAGACACCCCCCCCCCTTCTCATCTCCTTACTATCCTTACTATAGGGGAATGAAAAAGAACACCCAACCTAGGGCACCAAAACTTCAACTTGTCAAAGAGGCAGAGACCTCGAAATGTTGTCACAGCAACAGGGAATGCTTTGCTGAAACTTAGAACCAAGTAGCCTGTTTGCTACTAGGTTCCTGGTTCACCTGATTGCTTGTCTCATTGACTTACACACAGAACACTGTGATTACAGCAATCTATAAGGATCCTCTCACTCCTCTCATATCCCTACTGCTAGTCACAGGAGAGGGAGGCAATCTATGATTTTTCAGATGTGTCCTGGATGGGAACAATTTCAGCTTTTAACAGAGATGCTACTCTGAACAATATTCCAGTGATCCTTGCTTGGACTATAAAGGCTCTCTGGGGAATTTTCAGTTTTATCCCCTTACATTCTGTATGTTTGATGTTTTGTTTTATATGCTTTTGCTATTAAAATGTATATTTATTTAGACGTACCTTATATTTGATTGCAGGTAGTGTATTGCATATCGGGGGGAAGGTGTTCTGTAGTCCTTACACACATCCTGATAACAGTGTTTGAGATATCAAAACAGAGAGCAAAGGACGCAGGACAAGATTTGATTTTTGGCACGATAAACAGGTATTTTTGCACCTATACAGCAGATATAATATAATAATTTCACTGGTATGTTTAGCAGGCCAAAAGGTAGCAAATAAAAGAACATTTACAAAAACTGGAGAGTACAAAATCTGGTGCAACGCATCATAGAAATCAATCAGCTTCCAGTTTTTATTGCCAAAGCTTTAAGTGTTACTACACCCACAACAGTAAAATCAGTCTTTATATGCAGTAAAGCATGCTTGTTATACTCACTGTGGAACCTAAGGGGTTAATCCTCTGGTGTAAAAAGGCCATTTGATCCTTTCTTTTCTGTTCCTCCCCTTTTTCAAGCAACCACCTCCTATCTCCAGACTGAACCATAGGGGCATGCTTTTTGTTGGGTTTACAGTAATTTCTAGCAAAAATTGCAGATTTTAAAATATGTGCACAAATGATAAAATTGCCACAGTAGACAAATGGTTATTCAGGGATAACAGGCCTAATAGACGCCTGCTTAAATGTTATTTAAAGTGTTACTAAACCCACAACAATAAAATCAGTGTGTATATGCAGTAAAGCATGCTTGTTATACTCACTGTGGAACCTAAGGGATTAATCCTCTGCATTGTGTAAAAAGGCTATTTGACCCTTTCTTCTCTGCCCCTCCTCTTGTTAAAATGATCACTTGATACAGACTTAATCCATAGTCACATGCTCAGTTTGGTGTGTATTGCTAGAGAGGATTTCTTTTTTCTTGGGAGATTGCATGTGATCAGCACAGGGCCAATCAGCACTGTCCAGACAGACGTCAGGGGATTTGCATCCTCCTAGAGCAGAAAGAAAACTCCTCCTACGAGCTTTAGCTAGCGGTGGGCTGGATACAGATAGAAGTCACAAGACTGCTCTAACTTCTGATGAGAAAAGGTATTTAGCAGTTTATATTTACTAAAATAATTGCATTTCCATGTTGTGTGTACTGTGGGAGACCGGATATAGTGAATGCAGGGTCCTCGGTTTAGTAACATTTTAATTGAGCAAGCTGAAGTTAGAAGCTCTTTGGCTACAGAGCCAGAGAGCACAGAGAGAGAGCACATGGAGACAGATCACATGGAACGTGAAGTGCAGGCGTTTTTCAGGGTGCAGACAATCAAACAGCTATTCCACAGGACAACACAAGACACAGTGATACATCAGAATGGCAATATGGGACAACAGGGGGCTGATAGTACACAGTTCAATAGGACAGAGCAGCAGGGCACCACAGGGGTTGGAGTCTGCGGGCAAGGGTTTTCGGGCAGAATCAGGCTAAGTCCAGCACAGGGCAGAGGTCTGGGCACAACAGGGTTAATCCTATACACGGGATGTGGACCTGGGCAGAGAGGGTTAAGTCCCAACGCAGGCAGAGATCCGGGCACAACTGCGTTAATCCAATACATGAGATGCAGATCTGGGCAGAGAGGGTTAATTCCAAGGCAGGGCAGAGATCCGGGCACAACGGGGTTAATCCAATACACGGGATGCTGAGCAGGGCAGAAAGGGTTAAATCCAATGTAGGGCAGAGGTCTGGGTACAATGGAGTTAATCAAGTACATG